GTATCTACTTTTTTTATAAAATTATTTCAAAAACTAGCTAACAATTATAACTTGTAGCTAACAAGTATTTGATACCTGCATATTACAATTCATCTTAACAAAATTATTTCCTATATAAAAAACAGACCTTCATACAATTTTATTTCAATTTGTGATACACCTAAGAAGTCATAAATAATTTTAAATCAATTAACATATATAATTAACAAATCTCAATTAAAATATTTACTTAATATGCATTTAAAAACTGGTCAGGTTGCTTCTAAAATTATTAGTGTAAAACAAGTTATAAAATAAGAATAAAATATTTATGAATGTAAATTTGTATATATATAATATATATTATATATATATATATATATATATATATATTTGAATAAATCTTGTACCAAAGAAGGTTTTTGTGTACGTGAGTACATGTAACATGTAACATGTACGTGTCAACATGGATTTAAAAGAATTTCTTAGGCGTAAAAAAAATGCGTACGACATGCCTAAGTCAGCCTACATGTGTAACAAATAATCTGAGAGCTTGTACAAACCTAAACAAATGTAAAAGATAATTTTAGAAACGAATCAAAAGTTATTTTTACTCGGAAAACTGATATCACTACCGCCTGATACCTCAACTCTCATGAATCTTTATAGTTCTTGTTTAAAATAAATCACGTTCGTTATCTTGACGATTATTAACGTATTCAATTACAAAGATAATATGAACATTGTGTCCCAAATGTTAAATTATCGAGTGCATTTGATCTTTCTGGTGACCCTAAATTGTCCTCAATGCAACATTGATAAAAACTATATGAAGACAAAGGCGAAGGCGAATCGAATTTATACACGAGGAAAATTTATGAATGGATAATTTAGTTATGTAATATACTAAACGAGTATTATGTTTAGATTTGTTAGTTAAAAAATTACTGGGTGTTAGTGGTATTTTGCCCTAAGAGAAGTTGATAGTTTTATTCATGGACTATTATATGATGCGCAGCAAACAAAATTTATATCAAATAATTTTGTATGAAAATTTGTGAAACTGGATATGTGATATTATAGAGAATTTAATAAGCTTTTTAACAGTGTATTTTAACTTTTATATATGTGTAGTAGTAAATTATTAAAATATTTAGTCAACACTAAAAAATTGTCCGTAATTTCGAATATTGGTTTGATCATGCATAGATGCTTCATGAAAAAAAATACTGTTAATTTTGTATAAACATTTATTAAGCAAAGTATGAGCTATTGTTGAGAATTTAATATTTAATTTAGTACAAATAAAAATTTCAAACAGTAATATTATCCTTATATTATAAAAGCATAGCATTTAATTAAAAGTCCTTTCAACAAACAACCCCGTATTAAGCTAGATTATCATCATCAATTTGCTAAAAGCAAAATGCAACTAAAAACCTATGCAATTAATAAATTACATCATTTATAATAAATTGCACTTTCCATGTGCTAAATTAGCACATTATAGCCTCTCTTTTACAATACAGTAGGTATTATAGTGCAAATAATCCGCAAAGTTGCACTATTTGAAATATGCGTATAAGTTGTTAATCTGTATTTACAAACGTTAAATGCACTTCTCATATTATATAATATTCCGTGTATTATACAAATAACAAAGGATTATTATCATAACGTAAGCCGAAATGCCAAAATTATATTTGTTGGGCCAATAATCAACAATATATGGTAATAATTGATCATGGAATCCAGAGATTCTATAAATTTTCTAAATCAAATTATTTCTATTATATATTTTTCTATTTCTTCGACTCAGCCCTGTCTGAATATATTAAATGAAAACCTTTAATATTTTCTATTCAGATTTCCATCTGGGTTTGAGGAAATTTTTCGCATCGAGTTCTCCATTGTTGAAAATCTGTGTTTTCTCTGCGGAAAACTAATGTTATTGTTTCTAGATTGAATCAATATTGATATTCTGCTTTTATTCACATTCATATGTAATATAATATATATATATATATATATATAATATATAAATATATATATATATAATAAAAAATAGGAAAAATCTCTCAATAGCCCACAAATACGGTTTTGACCACCGAGTTATTATAATTGTAAATTCGTTGCAATTTTACGGAAAATTTTACTAGTGAGGGAAATTAAATTTTTTATGCAGTTTTGTATATAATTGTATGTAGTTTTCAGAAATGTAAAATAATTAATATATGTTAAAACAAATTTTCGAGATATTTGCAAAAAACTATAGAAGTGTCCATGATTATCAAGCCTCTTGTTAAGTTGGACCATAAAGTTATTCATTGTAATTAATGTTATGCATAATTTTACTATAATGATGCATATATTTTTTATACAGTTTTGTATATGATTTTATATCATTTTTAAAAATGTTAAATGTTGTTTAAGTGTTAATCTAATAATGCTAATCTAATTTAATCCATTTTTTTGTTTAAGTGCTAATCTAATTTAATCCATTTTTTGCAAAAATGCAAAAATCTATCTATTGGAAGTTGTAAAATATATAAATACCTATAATAAAGTTTTATGCAAATAATAACATTAAGTACAGTAATAAGATCAATAAAGATCTGTTTTGAATAACAGACAACAAATTTAATTATTAAACTTTCTAGTAATAAATTTTCAAAGTTTGCTATTTTCTTGGTAAATAGAAGAGACGTTTAATAAAACTATTTTGTATGAAAGTTTAATTTTTGAGAAAATAGAAGTAAATGAAAAATTTATTTTGAGCTGTAGATGATTGTATTAAATTTATATATATGCTATTTTATTAGTTTAACTATAAAATCGTTATTTTCCACATGATTTGTTAACATTTTAAAATAGCTATGAAATTTTTCACATATTTTTATGGCCAGCACACAATAATAAGGCGATTACTCACTCAAATAGAGAAAAATAGAGAAAAGTTGAAGAATAAAATAAAAGCTGATGTTTATAGTATTTTTATAGCCACTTTGAAATTTATGAGAGGCTGTAAAATATTCTTACGCGCTCGTAGAACAATAGACAAAAAGATTTGGCGAAAATTGCTAAGAAAATTGATGGGAAATTAATGCCAGGGATAAAGGATAATTTATACGTTTACATCTGAACCTATATAAAAATTCTACAAATATTATATTTTTTTTAATTTTAAAATTTTTCAATTAATATCTTCCATCTATCTTACTACCAATTTGTGTTAATTCTGACATGCAATAAATGAATTGAAATTTATTGCAGCTTTCCAACATACATGATTAAAAATCAATTAAAAAGAAGTCTTTTAGAAAGGAAAGCGTGACTATAATTAATTATCAGTAATTTGATGGTTTTAGAAATTGATTGGAAGCGATTTTCAAATCGCAGAATCGGACGAATCGAATGAATCGATTATTGATGATGAGATGTGAAATTCATATGGGTATATATGTGTAATTTTGAAATAATAAAATTGCAACGAATTTAAAATTTTTAACACGATAGTTGTTTGCTGGATATGTGTTTATTTGTTGTGTTGCAATCGGTTTAGTTTTCACAGTATAATTACTAAAAGTCAAATTATGTCTTTTTACCCCGTCATACCCTATTTCATCACATCGTGATAAATTATTCACTTCAATTTGATTTTTTTTCCGACATCGTCACACATTGCTATCAAAAGTCATTTGTATATTTCACGTCGACATCCAAATGATTATTTGAATATTCATGATGGATTATTGTAAAGAGCTTCTCGAGTTGTATTTTTTCCGTGAAAGGGAATAAATTTTTTACACAATAAAATTCGGTGACGAACTTTACGACTTCTGTGTCGGAATAATGAATATTCAACGACTGAGATTAAATAATATCTGATTGACAAGATGGGAATTAAGAAATAAGAAATCTATATAAGTAAATAAATATGTACATTTTAGAAAATTTAGATTTATAGAAAATTTTATTTAGTTTTCGGTAATATATAATGTTTTATAAGTATGCAAACAAATTTTCGAGAATTTTGCAAAAAACTATAAAAGTCTCTTCATTTACTAACAATAAGATTGGTTTAACCATCGAGTTATTAATTGTACATTCGTTGCAATTTTATGCAAAATTTTACTATAATATTGTATATATTTTTTTATTTCATAGAAAATTATATAATTTCTAGAAATGTAAAAATTTAATAAGTGTTGAAACAAATATTAGATATATTCGCAAAAAAGGGTCCACGATTATAATGCATATTAAGTTCGGTTTGACCATCGAGATATTAATTGTAAATTCGTTGCAATTTTATGGAAATTTTACTATAGTAATGTACATATTTTTATGCAGATGTATAGAGAATTTTATATAATTTTCAGAAATGTAAAACATTTACAAGTGTAGAAACAAATTTTCGAGATATTTGCAAAAAACTAGAAGTGGCCACGATTAGGATTCATATTAAGTTCGGTTTAACCATCGAGTTATTAATTGTAAATTCGATGCAATTTTATGCAAAATTTTACTATAATGTTGTATATATTTTTTGATGCAGTTCTGTAGAGAAATTTATGTAATTTTTAGAAATGTAAAATAATTATCAAGTGTTTGAACAAATTCCGAAGATATTTGTAAAAAACTAAAGTGGCCACGATTATGATTCATATTAAGTTCGGTTTAACCATCAGAAATTTATGTAATTTTTAGAAATGTAAAATAATTATCAAGTGTTTGAACAAATTTCGAAGATATTTGCAAAAAACTAGAAGTGGCCACGATTATGATTCATACTAAGTTCGGTTTAACCATCGAGTTATTAATGGTAAATTCGATGCAATTTTATGCAAAATTTACTATAATGTTGTATATATTTTTGATGCAGTTCTGTAGAGAATTGTATGTAATTTTCAGAAATGTAAAACATTAGATAAGTGTTTAAACAAACGCTCGAGATATTTGCAAAAAACTAAAGAAAGGTACAGCATTTTCAAGATATGGTCAAGCCATCGTCTGCACAATTATCGAGATAATAGTGTTGAAGGCTTTTTTGCATATAACATATAAATAATTGTGCAATATCTTACCTTTATCATCGATTGCAAAGTATCCCAATCCCGTGCCTCCCGTGATGGTGTAAGTAATCCTAGAACAAGGCCCCGGCGGGTCGTCGTCCGTGGCCAAAGCTTCATAACTTTAGAGCCGGCTGGTAAATTTTCACTCACTGAACCACTCAACACAAAATCAGAAAACACTGGCGCAAAACTATTTTCATCGACATCCACAATTTCCACTATCAAAACAGCTTTGGAGGTCAAAGCTGGCGAACCGGAGTCTCTGGCTTCGATGGTCAGGGTATGAAGTTGGCGTTCTTCGAAATCTAAAGGTTTGGAGACTCTGATGGCTCCTGATTTTTTGTCAACTCGGAAACAAGGTTCGCCTTCGGCTTCATCGGGGAGTAAAGAGTATTTTATAACGCCGCCGGCGCCTAGATCAGGATCAAAAGCGTCGACCATGGCTACAAGGGAGCCTAAGGGTACGTCTTCGCGTATACGGACTGTCACAGTTTCCAAAGCAAATTTAGGAGCATTATCATTCACATCGTCTATGGTGACTCTTACCAAGGCATCAGCATAAACCACCACCATCTGTAGCCCTTAAACGCAGTTCATACAACTCCTGAGTTCCCTATCCAAGAAGTTACTGACGTACAAAAATCCGTTATCAGGATTTACTGCAAAGTCTTTGGTATCAGTTACCAACGAGTAACGTACTTTGGCATTGGCACCAAATCTGCATCGGTGGCATTTGGCCGAAAAAATCACAGTGCCATTCAACGCGTTTTCAGTAACCCGAAAACTGGCGAATGCCTTCTCGAATTTAGGAGCATTGTCGTTGACATCAAGAAATGTTACAGGAATTATACGCGATTGCGATTTTTGGGGTTTACCCAAATCGTACGCGGTGACATTTAGATAGTACTCGTACTCGTGTTCGCGGTCTAAATAACCTATAATTTGCAGTTCACCAGTTTCTGGATCTAAACGAAACACTGAATCACTATCACCACCGGAGATACCGAAAATCACACGACCGTGGTAGGACATATCGCGGTCTCTTGCACGTAAAGTTAGTAAAACTGTGCCTAAAGGTGCTGATTCGTTTACACGTACTTCGTTAGGGAAATCTATAAACTCAGGGGCGTGTAGGTTATCCCTGTGCCTAGCGTGTCTAGGCTCGGGCGAAGGCAGAGTGTTAAGTTATTTCTTCAGCAGAAGCCAAAGCTTCAGTCAATCGTCTTGCTACACCAGTTTCACGACAATTAGATACACCTGATTTGTCCAAAGTGTTGGTTAATTTTATATGCACAGTGACTACATCAGAAAAATGTTTACCATCAGTTGCTGTATAGCGTTAACAAAACGCTCATCAGACCGTACATCACTCAAATCACAATCAACAGTCAAAA